CCCGGCAACACACCACAGTATTACCCCCGCCGGCAGCTCGCCGCGGCCGCACACTGCCTTACGGAGCACCACTTCCCCTGAGCCTGGCCACCGGCCCCGCAGGGTGCCCCGTACGCACCCCTGGGCACGGGGAGAGGCTTGCTGCACATCCCACCCTCTGACTGCTATCTAAAATACACAGGGAGCCCACCCATCCTGCCCCCCTCGTTGGCTAGAGCTGCTGGGCCCGGAATGGCAGGGAGGCATCCCGGATTTCTCTGCCTTCCCCTCGTGCCAGGGCCCGTGCCCTGTTCCTGGCAGGACCTGCACTTTGGAAAACCACGCCGTTTCTTTCCAGGAGTAGCCTGGGCTGTGGGGACTGCTGCCCTTTGCCACCCCAGGACTTAAATAAAACGAAATATGAGATATTAATATATTCTGCTGGCGTTTCTTCTTTCCAGCTCCACGTGCTCCTGTCCCTCCCCAGCTGTGGCTGTAGGGAGCGTAGTGCGATGTGGCCCCAGCCCAGAGCCCTTCCCGCTCTGTTGGAGGGCAGGGGCAGGAGGAGCGACAGAGGGACGGACAGACGGACGGACAGAAGCTGCCACCTTTTTTTTTTTGTTGTTGTTGTTTGTTTGTTTTATTTTATTTTTTATTTACAGATTTTTGCAGAAAAACAAAAGCAAAAAATTCTTTTCTATAATGTCTCTATAAATCTATATATAATGTAATTACAGAGAACAACTAATTTTGATTTAAACCAGAAATAAAACCAAACCTTTAATGACTGATGGTATCGCTGTGCGGGTGTTTCTTTAGCAGAGAGGATCAGCCCGGCCGTGTGCGGCACTGCTTCCGTGCAGCCTTGGGTTTCACCAGGAGAGCAGGTTTCTCCTTTTCAGCAGTGGAAGGAGTTTCTACCTTTGCCAAATTTTGGCTGCTTGTGGCCACGTTGAGACTACAGAATGGAGGTGCCCAGCCCAGGGAGTCACCGAAACCAGGGCTGCCCCGGAAACAGAGACAGCGTTGCTGTTTCCACTGCCTTCTGTACCTGTGGTAGGAATACACCAGAGCACTAGACCCCACACAGGGGTCCAGGGATGGAGCTTACCCGGCTAAATGGGTTTTCCAAACCCATTCCCATAAAGATTTGGCACCCCTTGGTGCGGGTCTCATCACTGAACCAGACTGGATCACAGAATAGTTGAGGTGGGAAGGGATATTTGGTCATAGCAGGGTCAGCTAGAGCACAGGACCCCATCTCGTTGGGTTTTGAGTATCTCCAAGGATGGAGATGCCAAAACTTTTCTGGCCAACCTGTGCCAGTCCTTGACCATCCTCACAGAAAAAGCTTTTCCGAAGTTTTAACTCAAATCCTTGTACTTCAGTTTCAGTTTGGTGCTTGGTCTTTCACCGGGCACCACGGAGGAGCATCTGCCTCTTCTTTAGCCCCCACCAGGTATTAATAGACACGGATAAGATACCCTCCCAGCCTTCATTTTTCCAAGCTAAACAGTCCCAGGTCTCTCAGCCTCTTCCTATATGGCAGCTGCTCCAATCCCTTAATCATTTTAGTGGCCCTTACGGTCCTGGGAAGGGATGGGTTGGAGCAGCAAAGATGCCCCAAAAGGCAGCAGAGGCAAGGACCCCCTCAGCACTGCCCCGTGGTGCTGCCAGCCCCTTGTGCTGGAGCAGGCAGCAACTGCACGGGCACTGCCAGCGCCGGGGATTTACGCTCCCCAGGTCGAGCAGGGTCCCCCTGTCAGCGTTTCCCAGGGTTCCTAAGCAAGTCCCAACAGGTTACAGCCTCTTCCCTCACTGGAGCAGAGCTTTTTGGGTTGGCTTAGGCAGAATGTAGCACTTTTAGATGTGGTTTTAACACAGATGGGATTGCGGGAAGGGGATAACCAGGGGACATTTTGCTGCATCACTGCTCGCTTCTTCCACCTGCTTTGGGGGCTGGATAAGCCCCAGGAGGGAAGCACTGTGCTTCTCCCAAAGCACTGCATCCCACCACTGGCTGCAGGAAGCGAGAGATGTGGGATGTGGGTCCCAGCTGGCACATACGACTGGACAAGAGCACCCGAGAGGCGGAAAGTGGCCCAGCCATATTCCATGTTTTTCCCCTGAATAACTCCCGGAAATAAAACCAGCCCAGTGCTCCACACTGGCCAGAGCCACAAATTCAATTCACTCACCTACGTGGGTGTCGTCCTTGCCTTGCTGAAACCCAGCCCCATCCCTGCAGCACAGTTCCACCTTCCAGGATAAGCTACACCTCGGCTGTGGGGAGCTGTGTGGAGCAGGAAAGCAGCCTTCTGTCAGGGCAGGCAGGGAGCTGCAGGCCAGAACAACATTGATTCTGCTCCTGGAACTGCAAGGAATAATCTCATTATTTGAGACATCTGGGGGAAATACCACAGACAATTTAGGCATCTATTGCCCAGTCCCTTGCTCTGGATAGGTCTGTGCCAACATTGCCAAACACCTTGTCCCATGGATGCTGCCAGGTCACCTGGAATTGCAGGAATAACTGGAATAAACTCAAAAAAAGCCTTGTTCTTTGGACAGCACTCCCTGAAAAAATTCACTGCAGTCTGCACATCCTGCTTGGGTTTTGTTTTTCCAGGGCTGGGGAGGAGGAGGACAACCATCACATGAGCCAGCTGTCTGAAATGAGGCAGGGGACTCGACTCTTCCCTCCAGGATTTGACATCTCCTCCAGCCCTTGCACAGGAACGGCACCACTTCATGGGGCGAACTCCCTGGGAGCCGCTCTCGCAGTGCACAGGGACAGACACAGCACCGCAGAGCGCGTTTTGCGGCAGCACGTTTGCTATTTCAGAGGAGACAGTGTGCCAGCACCACGTTTGTCAGCCAAATCTGTGTCAGCACTTAAAACATCTCTCTCTCTCGTACGGACGTGCTTGTGCTCAGCAGCACCGACGGCTGTTGCAGCTACTTGCTTTTCTTGTAGGAGCTGCAGCCCGTGGGAGGGTGTCTGTGTCACGGTTACATTACCCATGTGCTCCAGCTTTGGAAGAACGTTCCTTTTCCCCATTTACTGACGTTTTCCTTTTAATTAAAGGAGTGCATGTGGATTCTGCTTTGTGGTGTCGGTTTTTACCTGCCTCCTCTTAGACGGCATCAGGGCTGGTGCACCTGCCCAGGTTGTGACACCAAGAGCACCCACCAGCCAGAATGATCCCAAGCAGACGCTGCCACTTCGGAGTGCCACAGGCTCCCATCAGCCCTCGTGTTAAGAAATGACTCAGATCTTGATGCCAAGTCATTTTTAGGGGGTTGTAGGTTGGGAATCTCTGGTTTGAGCAGCCTCAGAGTTGGACCTCTCACCTTAATCGCAGGCTTGTATGAAATCACGTTTCCAAGGCATTCACTAGGACACGTAGAAATGATTCGAACAGCTAAACAGCCTGCGCTGAACCACAGCAAAGCAACAACCTCCTCGCGATCACTGCCGTGTTCCTCGCTGGGCTGTCAGGCACAGACGTACGGGATTGTTCTCCAAGGACCACTCCTACGGTGACAGCTGGGGCCTGGTTTCACACAGAGACCAACGTGCACTCCAGGCAGCCTCCAAAGTTCATGCTGGCTCTCAAACTCCTCTACTGTCTTCCTTAGGGCTGAGCGAGGAGAGAGGTGGCTCCTGAGGGCTTGGGCAGCGTGAGGGTGATGGAAACATGGAGATTGAAGAGCGGGGAACGAGGTGGGTGAGCTCACCCGGGGCGTCAGGAAGGCGGTCGGGAGCTCCTCAGCTCCAGTTCTTGCCATTGGGCTCATGGGAAAGACGTCTCTGGGAAAGGCCTCGCTCAGGCAACTTTTCTGCCTCTGGGTGTCTAATTTGGCCAAGCTTGGAGGCTGATTTTCAGGCGCATCCACAATTAGGACTGAAGCTGGGGGCTTGAATCCTCTGCAAATCCACCCAAAAGCGCCTCCAATGTGAGAAAGCGGAGATCAGTCGGTCAGACCCCCCAGCACATGCTGGGGACATGGTGTGGGACACTTCTGGCTGGAGAAGTCCAGGAATAGGTGTTTGCAGGAACAACTTCTGTTTCCTAAGCAGCAGCATTCTGACTACAAAAGGCAAGCAACCCGTTGTCGCGGTACGGCTACAACCAAAAGGCAGAGGGATCATGAGCACTCCTTTATCCCAGCCCTGAGTGAGTGTTTAAGGGAGCATAAGAAGCAATTTTACATATAGCCCGTGCTCCTCTCCCTTTTGTTTTGGGCCTGAACAAAGTTTTGAGCCTAAAGCAGGATTCCTGGCTATACACAAAAGCGACGCCATTCTCCCAGAAAACTGCAGCATGAGAATTGATGGGCTGACAGCTTAGAAAAAATGTAAATGATTTAAAAAAAAAAAAAATCACACGACAGAATCTCATTTCCCCAGAAATGTTCTTAGCAGATTCTTCATGTCGCATTGGCTTAATTTCCTTTTAACACCAACCCGCCTAGGGGATGAAGGGAAGGCAATGGATAGGGTTTTTTTTATTTTAACAAAGCTTTTTGGTAGTCCAACAGAAATTGGACTTGAGGATCCTCGTGCGTTCCTTCCAACTCAGGCTATTCTGTTTCTACGATCCAAATTTCTCACGCAGTTTGAGAATTTGAAGACCCCAGAGGTCAGGGTTGTGGGCTACACCCTGTCACCCCATAGCTAATGGTGACTTTTTTGCTTTGCAATTAATTTTTTTCTCCTTCAGCCAAGGCTGAACAAACAGAGCTACATCCTCATGACTCAACACAGCTCGTCCCCTCTGGCTGCCCGGCCCGGTAAGCTACAGTTCCCCCGCTGTAAGGAATCAATGGACTCAGCCTGGTGTCATAATTCTCGGAAGGGAACTTCACCCCACTCTCAGTCAAA